CTTCCACGAAGTCTCTCCTCGACATTGAATAAAACTGGGCGTAAGGTTACTGTAGCCCCGCAGTGTACGCAATGGCACACAGCCGCATCTGTACGAAAGAATGGCGCCGTACCCCCCCCCCAAATACGTTAGCACCGGCTTCCTTTTCGCAGGTTTCTGACCGTTTCACTTTTTTTCGTCCATTTTCCCACTGTAGTACCAAACTATCGTCCCACCGCCTTTAACGCGCCGACGCCGTCACAATAAACGCGCTCTAGTGCAGACTTTGTGCGCCACAGCCGCTTGTTGCAACGCGTGTTGCGATTCGGCGTCGTTTGTCTATTTTTTTATTAGATTCTTTTGAGTCGCTTTTTCAGTTCCATTTGGTTGTAGAAGTAGTTCAGGCCGAATAAGGTGTTGTATGTCAGAAAAAGGATAAAGGCAAATAAGTAATACCGATGAACACTGGTTTCTTGCAAAGAGAACGAAGAATAAAGGTAGAAACTCGGAATTGAAGTGTTTCCCATGAAGTAGTTTGTGGACTGGGATTGGCGGTTTTTGAGTGTTCAACAGCGGCATTGTTTCATTCAATATCATTTTTGAACCTCCGATTCTGTAGCAAGATTTCTCGTGTTCTGTGCCCATTTTGATAAATGTATGAAAACGAAATGTTTTTTAATATCAGCAAAATGTTCACACATTTCGGATGATTTTCAGCAGCAGTATTGAATGGTTAGGCACAAGAAGAACGATGAGGAGGGTTCACCAGATAAAAAATCAAGCGCTATCGGTGATGTCCATCGAAAGGTATCATCCTTTTGCAGTGTGTCTGTTTTGTCGCTCTACGTTCTTATTCAGCTAGTGCATGTTCGTTCCCGTAAGGATCGCGTCAATGAGGCATTGGAGGCTTTACAGTCGTACACTGAGAAAGGTGGAATACTTTGCAACAAGAACAAAGCCAAAGCACTCGCTCTTTACCAAACGCTGTTGAAAGCTTGCGAAAGCGAAGGAGAATATATTAGGTGGGTGATAACACTGAAAAAGTTGGCTGTGTTCATACTTTGCGTCAGCGTTTTGAGCGATAGGGAAAATATAGGTATTGATCTAGCGTTTTGAGCCTACGTCAGCGTTCTTAGCGACAGGCCGCGAAACGCTCAAAACGCTGGCGTACGCTCAAAAAGGTACATCGATATCTATACTTTCTTGATTGTCCCTCAAAACGCAGCCGTGCGCTAAAAGCTGACGCAAAGTATGAACGCACCTTTACTGATCACGCCTTCAAATCAGCCAGGTCATGTTCAGAAGGCTTCTGAGCGAAATTGAAAAGATACGCAGATCAGAGTTCAAAAAACAAGATGAGATCGGAACTAAAACGGCATGCTTTGATGCAGTTGATCAACCTGCAGGTATTAAAAAGACGTGCCAGGTATTACAATTATAAGGGCTTCTACAAACTTCACGTTTTTTATTCCCTGTGCTTTTGCACCACATCGTTCGCTTTTTAGGTTAGGCGCATTCTTATTTCAGGTGGAACAGTCGTTACCTCTTTTATCCCCCCCCCCCTCGGGGATGTGACGGTTTCTCCTCCATTCGTTGGTGTATAGCGTTCAGCAGCCATGCTCTCAAGTCAATGTGTTGATTCTCGCGGCCTAACCGTTGACGAAATTGGATTTTGGAGAGGGTCGTTAATGTGTCCAGCTATATGTATCTGAACCTCGTCTTTCTGGAATTATTCTGGGAGGCCCAACTTGGCGATGTTAGCTATGAGTGAGCTTTAAGAACTTGACTGTGCAAACCAGGACCCCGCGAGTTGATGTTGAAAAATTGAGGGGCTTGAACGGGCGCAAGCACAAAGCTGTTGAAAATCTAAGAGCAGTCGTTCTTATTCGCTGCTGATGCCGTGGCAAATAAGGGAGGGGCTGGGTTTGAAGAGCCTAACTGTTTATCCACTGTGCGTTATGAGAACGACCACATCCCAGGGTCACGCAAGGGAACACGCTCATTTAAGGGAAAGTCATTCCCACTTCGCACGTAGGCTCCTAATTGAATGCCCACCCCTACAATGCTGCTAACGCCCTTGAACGTTTATCCGAAATGCCTTGAGCATAGGTACGCGACCTATGAAGGCTTATCAGCTTGCCACTGGGAATGGCTTGTTGGGATTATTAATACCTGGTGTCACCCACTGCTGCGCAATGAAGCGGTGGGTTCACCTGCGGATATGCTGCAAGTGACGCACACTGGACACTAAAGCTATTCCCCCTCAGGCTGGTTTAGCTTTTAACGGACCGCTTCTTCTACGAATTTAGATATCAACGCAATTGAGAATTAGATTTCGAAATCAAGGATTTTGTATGGAGTGCATCTACCTATGTGACTCCTTTTCAGTCATTGATGGAGCCAATTAGCACATAAGGTTCATATTTGAACCCCAACCAACCCAGGTCTTCAAGGATACGTCCCCTATAGATATATGCACAAGAAGCGACGAACTCCAAAGGTATTCTTCAGTTACAGTTTGTGTTGAAGAACATCCTTTACACTTGTCTTTTCAATATCCCTGAAAAATCTTACTGACATTCACGATGGTGTGCATTCCAGGTTGTTGCAGTAAGCCCAACAGGCCGGTATGATGTGAAGGACGTTGACGATGAACAAAAGGTATGTTCTAATTTCGAAATGTATTAGTAAAGTTGTCTATCAGGGCTGTAGTGGCATGTATAGGTTCGACTCACAATGGCTCGTCGACGCCTCATCCCACTACCGAAATGGAGAGCTGATCCTGAGAGGGATGCTCATGCACTGTTTCCTCTCGAAGCAATCGTACTGGCATTGTATCCACAAACCACGTGTTTCTATAAAGGTATGTATGCTCTGTCAGGGACTGATGTAGCCGAGGTACGCAGTCTTGCGATTTCCCGAGAAGGATTATGTGTTATGACGTCACACGACACTCTGATGACGTCTCATGAGAGGTCATTGACGATAATACAGCAGTTTTCTTATTATGTTAGGTGGTGCGTCATCTAACATCTTTCGCAGGTAGCAGATCCATGCAGCATCTGTATCTTGCCGTCGTTTTCAGAGAGCGGTTCGGTCACAATTTCTTCCTGAGATAGGCTTTGAGGCGGAGGTGGTGTAGTGGCAACTGGCTTTCTCACCAGGCTCTAATCCAAGATATGGAATGGAAGTGCTATCATGGCGCATCCCAAAAAGTGACTGACCAACGGCGGGAGCTTTATTTTTTCACTCTTCACGGCAACCTATGAAGTACTCGTTGAAATACCTGTCAAGCTTGAGTAGAGAGTACTACTGGTGGTCCATCCTTGTATGATCCCTTTCTTCCTTCCTGAAGGTAGTGTTTTTTGATAACGACCCATTTCAGGAGTAGTCCAGAAAGTACCCCAACTCGTCGCTGATGACTATCTCGTTGCCTTCAAAGATCCTTCCTACAGTACTGGATACTCCCTCCGTTGCCTATACCACAGCGATACGTCGTGTCGTTCAAAGAGGTGAAGGGTAAAAATACTAAGACGTAAGAAGTTACTAGATGTTGCAGATAATTTCTCGTTGTAAATAATGTATATAGTTTGAGTTGTCTGTATGAAACGTTGCTGTAATAAACTTTTGCCCACACTTGATTCTTCTTCTTCTTCGACGTTTCTCCCGCTTTGGCAGGGTCCACTTTGGCTTACTTCGTGACGCCACTTCCTCCGATTGAATGCCTGGTTTGCCCACAGTTGATTCAGTAATCACAATAAAAAAGCCTGGGCGCGTGTGATAGTTTTTTTCTTTTTCGTGGAAATAAAGTGTACACTCATCTCCAAGGACGGTTATTGCCTGTTCGAGGTGAGTGGGCCCGCAGCCTCAGCAACTTTCTCCACTCAAAGTGCACGAGAACGGGGCCGATTGGTAGTAATAACCTTGGTGCCGTCTCCCCACGCGGCCCGTGCTATCCTTTTGATGCAGCACCTGCGTCGACAGGGTACATCATCGTTGTGTGAAACACGTAGGGAGGGTCGTTCTTTTCCGCTGGGGAGGGGTAATCGTATTTGGTCGTTGGGAGAGGGGGGAGTCGTATGTGCTTACAAGCAATTGCCTCAACAAGCAAGTTGCTGCGTTGAAAAAAAAGTTTTTCCCTCGTTGTTAACTCGCGCGAATTCTTTTCCATGTGTTACTATATAGTCCCCCCCCCTCCGCTCGACAGCAAAACATTTGGGTGAAAAACTGGAAAATGTGGAAAGTTGTAACTAGGTGTTGGGGAAGGGGGAGGGGTCGTACCGAGACCCTCATTAGGTGGGGAGGGTCGTACCTACACCTCCATTTCACACATCACGGTGCTGTACCCTGTGCGTCGATACCAAAGGCTCGCCGCGAAACGTGGACTCATCTATAAAGAACAATCAGAAGTAAGAGAGCGCAGACATAAGGAGCGTTCGGCCGTGGTTGAGCGTGTGGCTGGCCGTGTGGCAGTGGGCGCAGAGTCGGGAGTCGACACCCGGGGAATACTACCCTCCAAACCCGTTCCCGTGCACTAGTGAGTGCCAAAAGTGACCGCTGCAGCTTAAATCTGAATCGAATTTTCCCCGCTGCCGAGCTCCTTAGAAATTTAACAATTGTGTGCGATTTCCACCACCCACTTATGGCAATCTTGAGATCTGTCTTTGAAAACAACTCGTTTCCGGTGACGTAAGCTCTTCTTCAGGCCATAAATGTACTGAATCTGTTAAAATGTGAGTTAGCTTGCCTCAGGATGTTATTTCATGCTACGGGTTTCAAAACCATCAGACATTGTCCATACACGTGGAAACTCTAATAATTTATTCACTCCAATAACTCGACTAGACATTACTGAGCTTCAGCAGAATGCTCTACAACCCGATCAAGCCTCAGACGGGGTCGTAACCTCGACAAGCTCGGGTTTTCTTCTTGAAGTCGTTCCAACCATTGTGTCGCCGTTTTGTTGTCGTTCCTACAAAATGGGCATTTCAGAGCTTGTCTGGAATAAGCCTAGAAAATCACTTAGCGCAACTTCAGCAGAGGTACAGTACCAAAAACTTGCAACAAGCCAAAAATTACATTTTTGACGGTTTTTATTGAGCTCAGAGTAAATTTTTTTGCTAAAAATGTGACAGGAAAACTAAACTACATTAAACTAAGCAAACATCGAAGACATTAAGGGGTGGGGGGGGATGGTGTGACGATAAAGACACAGCTCTAGGAGCCCATCATAAAAGCTTGAGTGAGTGGGTGATCTAGAGTTCCTCCGGCCACTTCTCCCAATCCTGGCTTCAGAATCCGTCGAACCGACGGGATCCTAGTGCACCTGAGTATCCTGAGTGCCAAAGAATGAACCTCCCAAAGACTGAACCTTGGCCCCACTGAGAACTTATTGGAGCGCCTTGTGAGTAAATGGAAGTTAATCACCAAAACTAACTGTTTCGCCACATTCAGTGCACATAGAATCACACCACGGATACCCTTGGCGTCCCTGTAAGGCTGACGCGCCAGAGAACAGCGCTGTTCGATTTGAGAGGGGCATTTAGCTTTTTCGTTAGTTCCTTTTGCTAGTTCCTGGAAATTACACGTCATACCATGGTGAGAGCTGTACACCTCTTTCAAGAGTAAACGTCGCTCCTGCTATTGCATGACTTCAATAAGAATTCACGGCTTCCACGAGAGATATTGACAGTGGCTGATGGGAACCAGCAAAAATGCCCCCAACAAGCCGGATGTGCCAGAAGAACTGTTGAAAAAGCTGTTAGAGAGTCGAGTGGCTACCACACATCAAGCATACTACTCATATTTGATATTTTTTTTGTTCATTACCCACTGGATTAATACAATGTTAACCGTGTGGCGATGTAGCTCGTGCAAACACATGAGGATGGTCCACTTTTGTTTTTTTTTTGTTATTCATTTCCTGAGGTTGTGCATTTACTTCCTATTCCAGTAAACAGTTTCGTAGTACATTTAAGACCTGGTGAGGCCATTTTGCTGGCTTTTATCAATAATTACCGATGCCCCTTGTGTAAACTCCTGTAAAGCTATACGCTAGCACAAACATGGTTTACTCCTGACAAGTGACAACAGGTCTTACCAAGGTGAGACCTGTAGCTCAGCAGGAATCAGCAAAAGAAGCTAGCAAGAGTGTGCCCCTCCCTCTCTCTCCTAAGCCGAACGGGGTCAGAATGGTTAACATACAGTCACGCGCAGAAAAGCTGTTTGGTATGCGATAAATCAAAACGTCAAAGCTAATGGTAACACATTATTGGCTTGTTGCAAATTGCCTTCAGATACTGTAGCACGAAACATGTTTAAAACAAAAGACGTACCTGTGCATTGCACCAAGGGCCAGAATTGTTTCATGTTTCTGCTCATGAACTGAAATCTTTCTTTCATATCGTTCATTTTTCCATTCTGTGAACCAATGCGAGAAATCTTCTTCCTGTTCGAACTGAATGGTTCAATGATTTACGAGAATCAATTGCGCAAAAAATCTATCGAAAATATCTCACGTACCGTTTCATGCTTGAAATCATCGCTGGGGACATGAAGAGGAGCACATGTCATTGCCACATATTTGACTTGATGTTCCATCACATACACGTTAAACGGACCATCAATAAACACCTTCGAAAGGTCTCTTATGATCTGATCCACTGACTTCCCATTTTAACATTAAAAATCATTAAATAATATGCCATACCTCTGCCTCATCCGGAAGCTCCTCCATCAATTTCTTTTGCGTCAGACTTTGTGCAAAGGCAAACCAAGCCTCTTTCTCTGCTCCAGTAGGCGCTATCTTAACGTGTCACAATTATTACACCCAAGATCATGTCGTTCATTAATAGCACCCATGATGAACCGCCAGTGATTTTTTCAAATTACTGTAGTTGGTGAGCGCCCACCTATAACACTTGACACTGGCAAAGTCGAAGGATCCTCACCCTCGTCAACGAAATGGCCGTACCAGGATCTGGGCACATCATTTTCAGGGCGAGGCCTGCTAATTCTGCCGGAGTCAGCGACTTACCTGAAATAGGGTGTTGTGGTCAAAAGCAGCTGGAGCTCGAAAACTTTAAATAGAACATTAGCAGGAAATACATGAAACCAGTCCATATGTAAATCAACAATTCATATCTGATGTAATTCAGAACATCCTAAACGCGACAACGCGCATTAGTAGACTGGTGCGAATAGCGCGCACGTGCGGAACGTTTACCCTTTGCAGCGCCTCCTTCACCGCCTCCGCTAAGTCTTGGATGTACTGGGCTGCAACTATTCACACGCAGAACTGCTAGGCATCAAAAGATTGTCACAAAAATATTCTCAACAGCTTTCTGAATGTTTTGGTCCCTTGGAATGAGTATTCCCACACTCGAAATCCCTGAGATGAGGTAGGCGTGGCTGCGTACTTCAACTAAGCGTCGCGAGGGCTCTTGGAAAAGACATTTTCATTTGT